AATAAAAGTGATGCTGTGGAGGTGATCATTGAAATAGTCACCAGTGACAATTCAGCAGGAGACTGAAGCTGCCTTCATGGGCTTTGGATTCTCTGGGGGTCACAGCACCGAGACCGCTAGACTATGACCTTCAGCAATTGGATTTCTAGTCTCCAAATTATGTCTTTAAGGACTGTGCAAATTACCAGTCAGGGGCTTCAAATTTAAATTGTTCCCTTCTTTAATTTTTATTAAAATCCTAAACATGTCATGTTCTCCATAATATTCTTCTTGTGTTTATTCAGCAAAAATTTATGACTTTTTTAGGATTTTTTTTTTACTTATTCACCCATGTTATTAGTCAGAGAATATTAGGAACAATTGAAAAAACATGTTTCAGTACTATGTTACTTGAAATTAACCACTGTTCTTTTAGTACTGCTTTAAATCTTTTCCCTACAAACATAGGAATATTGATCAATTCTACTTTGTCTGATATTATGCCGCTTTTAAATTACGTATTTTGCCTGAAAAGTATATGTCTGAGAGGAGAGAACTTCCATTTTGGTGCAACACCAAAAGTAAGTAAAGCCTCCACTTAAGTTTCAGATAAGTATTCACAGGAAAAAATTTTCATAGGATAGCTTTTAGTCTGTACATTGAAACAGTGTTTCTCCTCCATAAACCTCATATTTTCTATGCTGAGGGTTGTAGACACCTTCTTTTCTCTGTAGGAGTTCTGGCCCTGATGCATTCTCTCACATACCAAAGGGCCATAGGAGAATTCCCTGAAGTCATTCCTCTACAGGGACAGCAACCAAAAATGTAACTGTCCATGGAAGTGACTGAAAACTACATAAATATATTCTGTTTGATACAAACTGAATGCAGTGTATGTAACTCCATTTCCTTTTAGCTGGATCCTCAAAATACCATCAACAACTCTAATCATGAAAGGAATAAAAAGTCAAAGTCAAAAGAGTGAAATGAAACTAAAGGATTAAAAATTTAATTTTTCTCTAAATACATATTTTAGTTTAAATGCATTACTGGATACCTTCCAGACATAAATCCTCCTCTGGGCTAATAATTACTTTTCAATGCAAAATTTTTATTGAAGATAACTTTCATCTCCTCCAAATCATTAAGTGTGTGTCTTGATAAATGTTCATACACACCTGTAATACTAGTACTCAGATGAAAAACAGAGCATGATCAGTATCCCAGAAGACCTCTTGCATCTCTTCCCAACACTGTCCCTGACAGGGTTAACCACCATTCTGACTTCTAAAATCACTGATTAGGTTTACCGGTTTTTGAACTTTATATAAATAGATTCATACAATTTACAATATGTCTGATTTCTTTAGTTCAATATAATTTGTGAAATTCACCTACACTGTTGCATATTATAGTCCCTTCATTTTCATTGGTGTGTAAGCTTTCATGAATATGTCACAACTTACATATTTGTTCTATGACTGAAAGGCATTTTGGCAGTTTTCAGTTAAGTCTATTACTAGTAGTGCTGCTGTGAACATTGTTTTTTTATGTCTTTGGGTGTATGTAGCATGATGTTCTGATACTAATACGTCTAGAGTGATAATTGCCGGGTCGTAAAATATTGTCGTTCAGCTTTGGGATATACTGCCAAAAACTTTACCAAAATGTTGTACTGATTTACACATATCTTGGCTGTAACTTGGTGATCTGTCTTTTTCATTTTAGACATTCTGAAAGGTTTATTTATAGTAATACCAAAATGTTGTAATTGGCATTTCAATGATTACCAGGGAAGTTTACCACCTTTTCGGATGATTATTGACTTTTTGAATATCTCCTTTTATAAAGGACCTACTTAAGTCTTTTGGCTGTTTTTCTATTTGTTTTTCTTATATGCTCATTAAAGTGGTTTATATCTTATGGATGCTCTGAGATTGGCTGTATCTTTTAAAGAAGTATTTAGATGAAAAGAGAAAAAGAAATTTTAAGTGCATTTGTGAAAAGAGTCAAAAGTTACGACTTAGATGGAAAGCAAGTGACCACGTTCAGTACTATAACTTAGGAGAACATTTGTGTTCTTATATCTTTTAAGAGCCAATTTTTCTTGTTCTTGTTTACAATCATTAAAAAATGTATTGATCATAAAAGATGATATATAATGCTATATAAGGACCTCACTCCAATTAGAATATTGGGGGTATTGGGGGTTGTAAGCTTTCATTTTGTAAGTTCTCAAATGCTTTGAAAGGAGCTTATTATCAACACACTGTTTTCTTTTAGGACAGGAAATACCGTTTTGGAAATTACAATCTTTTCAATCTACTCATATTTCTTAATGGGTTTAATTTTTTTGGTCAGATTTGAAAGAAGTTTTCAGTTTGATATTTGCAGTGTCTATTATGTTTACATATTCAGTAAAATTCCAAAACTAAAACATAGTCCAGATTCCATTATGATTTTTCCTTCATGATCTCTCTAAGAGCACTTATATTGTCCAGTATATGTAGAATGTTCTCCGGCATAGTACTAACAAAATGAATACTGCAAGTCTTAATATTCCTCAAGTTTCTCACTTTTATTAGGTTTTTTTTTCTTCAAAATATTTACTCTACAGTACTCAAAAATACTCATTTGATTAAGTCAGTCACTAGACATAATCAAAAGTGAAAGAAGACATTTCAAATATACTTCTCTCAGGGTAGAATAATTCCAAACAAGCTCTCCTTGACAGCAGAATATGAACAGAGTGTGGGAGAAGACAGGCGTGTTTACAGCCCAAGTCTCCTAAAAATTATGAAAGGAAAAAATTGTCAAGGTTTTGCCATAAATGATGAATCATGAACATTGTCATTCTGTTCTCACAAATTTAAAATTCACACACATTAGTCATATCCAAAGATCTCAAAGATAATTTCCAACTGGAGATCCATGCTGAGAATATCAATCAGATTAAAGCCAAGATTCTGGGAACCATTGCTTTCTTTTATGCAGAAAGTTGCATTGCCGGTTTCTCCACTTACAGTTTTATACAAAGCAGCAAATAAAAGAAGAGTGAAAACTACAGATATGCAAAGATACGATGATTGCAGTTAATTTTTGTCTCATGTCTGAGCACTGGAAAAAAGACACCTCCTAAAACTTAAAATTGGTAATATTTGAATTATACATTCCTTCCTTTTAAGCTCATCTGTAAGAAGGTCAAAAGCAAAAGGCTTTTGTTAACTGTACAGGTTGGATTGTCTTGGGATTTGAAAATGTGTTTTAAATAGAGAATGAATCATTACAGACGAGCATATTGGATTTTGCAAGTCTTTGATTGTTTTGGTACTTCATGCCTGAATGTTTTCCAACTCTCTGTACCATAGATACTTCCCACACATTGAAATGTCTTATAATTGTATTCAGAGTAAAGGAAACCAGGCAAGTAAGTGTATCTTCCAAAGAGAGTCCCTCTATATATAACATTCATTTGGCTGTCAAAACAGAAAGAGGCTGCCTGACAAATATCTAAATATCAGTGTTCGTGTAGGCTCATTGTCTGAGGCTTGTGTTTTACATTTACATTTAAACATGTTTGTTATATTTATTGTTCATATAAAGATTTTCTCATTTTAGTTTTAAATGATATGTATACTATTTTTTTGCAGTTATGAAAAGTCACATTTTATGTGGTAAAGATGAATTAGTTGTCTTTAGTGAAAATGGAGTTTTATATATTCAGGAGACAGAGAAATATATGAAAGAGTTTTTATATTATTTGACTCATAGCCTTTAGTAAGACTTCATAAAAAATACAAATATGGCAAAATATTGTTTCTCTTTTCCAGATTATTATCACAAATAAAACCATTAAAGGTCTGTCTTCTTATGCTTCGAATAAAATTAAGTATTGTACTTTTAAGTCTGTAGACTTTGGAATAGAATTGGAGCTTAAAAGCTATGCTAGAACCTTCTAAAGGCTTCAGATGCTTTCAAATTCTGCACATATTCAAACTCGGGAAAATGTATACAATAAGCACAGTTAGGTTGTGGAATTATGTTATCTCTCATTCTGTGCCATTTTCATTTCTTTTCTAGGATCTCTTACTTCCTGGATGCCCATTAATCTATTCCCTTGTTAGTTGTCTTCTTCCTTGAAGGACAGCTGTATGATTGATCAATTCTTTCAAATAAAGATACATTGATTTTTTTTCATCTTCAAGATTCTTTGTGCTACTTGAATTTAAATAAAAATTTCTTGGGGAATGTGTGCTTAACCCACAGAAAAAAAAAATTTGATGTGTGGATTCCTTCCACCCTCCTTCCCTCCCTTGCTTTCATCTTTCCTTCCTAAGTCAGACCAAATTGGGCTTTTGTGTGGGCTAGGGGTAGGGTAGGAAGTATAGGTTAAAGGATCTTAGTGAAGGCTAAACTGAAAGCATTAAACACAAATAAGGCAAGAATTTGATTGGATGGTGATAGTTCAGGCTTTGAAGAAAAAAGTAATATAAGATGGAGGCTTAGACTTTGAGTACAGTTTTAAGACACAGTTTCCAAGAAGACTTTAAAGACTGGAGTCAAAAAATGAAGACTGTAGATAGTTTTCTTGTCCCTTGGCTAGTAGCATCCAGAAAGAACCTATTGCTATATTGTCCTAGAGAAGTGCTTTAATGATTAGCAAAATTAAAACCTGCATGCAGCTCTCAGTTATGGCCCATACAATGTGAACAGCTTCCCCTAGAGAATTTAAAGATCCTGACTATATTTCATTCTTCTGGAAATGGAATCTATTTTGGACACAGGGTGAACTTTGAGGAGATTCTAAGAAAGTTCTCCTAATTCTTCTTTATAGTTAGTATTTGCCAAGGATGGTTAGGGGAACTAATGAAACAACCCTTGAAAATCTTAGGTGCCTGTCCATTTTTTAAAAAGCATCCATTTTTAATATAAAGTTTTTCTTGGAGTAACCTGCTCACTTTTTATTAGTTTGTTCATTCATATATACAATGAAGTAATCACTTATTTTACTTCTACTGTAGGACATGGGATTCAGTGTTGAACAAGGCAAACAAGTTCCCTGTTCTCTTGGAAGAATCTGGACAACAAACGAGTGAGTAATTTATACCATTCAGTTCTAAATTTTAATGAAAATTTCTTATTTCAAAAAGATTGTTTATTGGTGATGATCTAAGATTTGTGAAAAGGCATATCCAAAATAACTTATTTATAAATATTGAATAACATTTTATAACTGACAATACTAGATACATCAAAAATTATAGAGAATGCTCAATAAATGCACACAGTTTTAGAAAGGATCTAAGGAAACCATTTTTAGATTACCCATCCTTTGTTTAACACAATCAGATACAATATTTGGGAATTTACATTTGTAGGTACCTGAGTGAAAAATTTAAGATTAAAGGAGATGGTTTGACTCTTTTCAATTTACATTTCTATCAAGACCATTTAATATCTGGAGATTTTATCCTTTCATATGATTGCATTTAAAAATAAAAGGTTATTGTAAAATCTGGCATCATAAGGCATGTATCACAAAGTATCTTCAAGGAAATTCCAAGTCACTTGTGAATAAAAGCTGGTCTTTTCGTAAGTGTGGTGGCAACTTCTGGCAATACTGAACTTTAATGCAGGGTATGTTCCTGTCTTACCAGAAAGGTGGGATTCTTTAAGAGAAAGAAAGCTACTTTAAATATCAATACATGACATGATTATATGATTTTGTCATTAGATACTGACATTTTAAACTTTAAAAAAAAAAAGTCTGCTATACAGAATGCCTTTCTCTACATGGCCTTCAAGATCCAGCTCAAATTTTGTTTCTGAACACAGTAATATGAACAGAATGAATTGTTTTAAACAAATTGAATAATTGACATGTAAGTTTTTAAATGGAGGTGTTGAAATTTCCTAAAAGCTTTAGTAATTTCTCAATTTACCTATTCTGTCCATTTTTCTACATATTTCATAAAGCCGAGTTGATAGGCAGATGCAGATTTACAATTGTTATAGCTTCTTAGTTTTTCATTTCATCGTTAAGTAACAATTTTCTTAAAATAATAATGATTTTTGTGTGTGTGAGATAATAAAGCTACCCTAGGGTTCTTCAATTAAATATTTCACTGATACTTGCATGTGTGTGTGTGTGTTCATGCACATGTGCACGTATGTGTAGAGATAATCTCTTTGCTTTCAGCTTTTCTGTGCCAACATTTAGATGTATTATGACTTTATATTATATAAACTGGGTTTTCTTTTCTAATTCATTTCAGAATCTTTAATAGGAAAACTAACCCATTTACTAATATGTGCTAACTGATATCTACTACTTGCTTTTAAAATGTTTTCTATTTAATATTTATTATATTTGATTTTCTTTGTTATTTTTAAGGACTTCATTGAGTATACTTTATTTTTTCTTCCTTTATATTGAAATTTATAAAGATAGAATGTATGAATTCTGCTTTATATTTTTATCATATCTACATTAGTTAACAAATTCTAAAGCTACTTTATATATCTGAATTCCTTGTGAATAGTAAAAGCCAAACACTTTAAACTTCAGTGTACCACTAACTTTCATAGTAATATTCTCTAGCATTTCTTTAAGAAATTTGTAAAAAGTATTTTCAGAAGTAGAGACCCCTATCAGTGTTTATTTTGGTCTGTTATGGTGCCAGAATTCCCAAAATTTATTTCAAAAACTTTGTCAATTATAATCTGGTAGTAGTGCTCTTTTCATTTTCTGGACATGTTACTTAAACCATGTCCTAGCTAAGTAAAGGTAGTTATTTACTGAGCACACACGATCTTCAATGTGTGGCAATGGAACACAGAGATGAGTAAGATACGAATCATACAGTTAAGAGGCTTTAACAAAGTTTATATTGTCCTTCTTCATTCCAGATAAATTGGTATAAGTATTCCTACCTTACATATTACGATACTTGTCAGAGTGCCTTGCTTGTATGATCTTGCTTAGCCAGTATTTTTGATTGAATGGAAAGTGAGTGTGGGGAGTGATGACACAGTCATAACTTAATGGGCTAGTTCTTCCTCAGGAGGGAATATTAATATATGCTCTTGGAGACAGATGGAGATGATGTACTGTACCCTTAAGCCCTCTACCATGTCAGCCAAGTTTTCATCTCCAAAGGAAGAATTCCAGGGCAAGCATAACAGCCTGAATGGTCTCACTGCAGGTTGCTGGAGAAAGTGCTTGTGCAGTCTCTTCAAAGAGGCTCTAATGATTTTCCGGCAAGGGCACCTCCACTGCATCGCTGCCAGATGAAAGTTTACTGGTGGCTCCTCTCCAGTTTGATCCAGGCCTTGCTTCCTCTGAGGGCTGTAGTTCAGGCTAGTTGGCTAATTAACAAGCGCTTAACACATACCTACTGTGTGTGGGGCACTGTGTGCAATCTTGCTGTCTACCTATGTAAAACCTACTCACACATCACAGCAGCTCCAGTCTCTGCTCCTTCGCCTCCCCTACTGATTCTAACCTAAGATGTTATTCCTTATGGAAACGACCATCTGAGCCATTTGGTATTTTAGTATTTTTTTTTTATTGTTTATTGACATGAGAGTAAACTTTAATTTCCCAGCACAACTGTAAGCACAAAAAGACTTGATTCTTCTACTGTTTCTTATTATAGTTGAAGATTATCTGGCAATTAATTTATTGTTACTTAAAATACTATTTCCCAAAATGGGTTCCAGCGAGTGCTAATCTAGTCCTTAAAATATTCTGGGAAAAGGGGCAGGTGGTAGTAATGATGAGGTCAAATAAGTTTGTGAAATGCTGCGCAGCATTTCTGTCCTCTTGAAAATACATGATACAATTTGGAGACAATTAACACTTTGAAAATTCATGTGTTAAGGATAAAGTTTTAACTCTTGTTTTCCTAAATTTAAACAAGTCTTTGTTTAATGAGATCAAATATAATCTTCAGGAATTACATCTGAATTTAGGTAGCTGAATTAAGAACTCAATATTAGAAGTAACAATTTTTATTCGGTTTGGTTTGTTGTTATAATGATGATCCACTACCGGCCCACTTTTCATGTAGATATATTTTCAAATGAAAGCATTTCCTCTCTCCCTTTATTAAACACCATTTAGCATCCCTGAAAACCAGTGTTCTACAGAATAATTTTAGGGAGATACTTTTCTGCTTTATAGCCAGTTGTTATAGCCAATGGTATAATCAAAGTAGATGCTACATCTGGGACACAGCATCTATCTGGCTCATGGCTGTGGTGAGGAATATCCTAGAAGATGTCCAGCAACTTTGTGTGGGCGGGGGTTAAGTTCTCTTACTGAGCCTTTGAAGCTGTGATATGAGTGATACAAGAAAAACAAGTGTAACATCTATCACCCTAATGGTAGTGAAGGGCCATTCAGTGGATCAGATTATCTCTGTCACTAAATAGAGAGGGACTGCCATTTAGTCAAAACTAAGTCACAGCTCCTGTGCTTGAGTCTTCTAATAAATGCAGAAAATATTAAGCCCGACAGTTTCCTTATCAGGCTGAAACTACAAGAAAGTCTATAACATTATTTAGTTTCAAAGGATGCATTCTATGAAATACTATGCCTAAAAATTCAGAGAGAAGACAATTACTTCAATGGAAGTGGTGTTTCTGTGTTTTCTAACTTAGGGAGTGGTGTTTTCTAAGTTTTCAGATAAGAAAGGGTTTAGGAAAACGTTCAGTAATTGATGGTGTGTCTTATTTCTGATGATATCAGTGATTTTTGCCAAGTTTCTCCACTGTAAAAATTTCTTCTTTTCCTCTTGAAAGTAGTAACTGTGCCGTGGAAAGATACTTTGAGAATGTGCAAGTATTTTGTTTCTCATTTTATTTTCACCTAGTTATTTTAGTATTAATTGATGACTCTTGCCTATGGAACTTAGTACTAAAATGTTTACCAAATGGCAAATTTCTATCATTCTTCCTATATTTATTAATTGGAATCTTACTATAAAGAAGAGATATCCCTTTTACTCCATTTATTGATTTATGCATTTAATTATTTATGTCAAATTGACTCAGGGATATTTATTTTATTTGATGGGCTGTTATTCATTGCTTGTCATGTTTTGATTTTTTCCTCAAATTATCTCAGCTTTGTCTGTTTGTTTTTAAGTTGGCCTCTGTGACCTTCATCTTTTTCTTTTTTAAATGCTTCCTCACTTTCCAGCACTCTTAAGATATTCCTGATTCATCTTGTACTTCCTAGTAACTTCTCAGCCCTCAAATCAATCATTTTCCAAGTGTTCTTTTTCTTTTGGAGAATTACTTACAGAAACCAAGGTCTAGGCATGGAGGGTTCTCATTGCTACTGAGACGTCATTGCTATTACGCCACCTCACTGAATACAGCTAGAAAATATTTGAATGTATAGTAACCCAGGTATATACACATCTACATCTCTCTTGTCAATTCACATTATTTATAATAAAATCCATCAGTGCCAGCCGATAGTTCCAATTCGAATGTAACATCACATAGTTCATTCTAGCCTTCCCCTTTCCTTATTTTTGTAACTCCCTTCTCTGATAATGAGAAACCTGATTCTCATCACCCACAATCTATTTCTGAGAGATAAACTGACATAAGATAGTTTCAGAATTGCTAATCCATACTCCAGTATGGTATTTGTGTGTATTTCATTTTTTTCCCTTAGGCTTACAGTATCTTGTCAAAATATTCTTTATGAAGTTGGTTTAGTTTTCTCTGACCCCTTCAGTGGGGCTATTTCCTCATTTGTAATAGCATTAGATTCTTTTGTTCTTTTTGTATTCCATTTACAGCCCTTCCTCGATATCCAGTTTAAGTTTATCGGTTCTGTTTATAAAATACTGCACTAAGATGTAGAATAATACATGAAAGTATACTCAAAGAAGTTTTTCTTCCTCCCCTTCTTTGTAAGCCACTCCCATTCTCATTTCCCTGCTCTTTCCATTCTGTTCCTACCACCCCTGAAGGTAACCCATCTCATTTGTTTCTGAATTTTATTACCTGAATTACTTTTTATATAAAGGAGCAGAAACATTGATATTTTCTTACTTACTTTTCTTTCCTTATG